AGTGAATTTTCCTAGTGGTTCATAGAAAAAACTGTTTCCATGAGCTACACGAAAAATTCACCCTACTATTATAAGAACAGAACATAGTCTTATTCGGATCATATTAAAGAGAGACCCTACAAACCCCATAATCGCCTCGAACAACACTATGTTTTCTCTTTTTAATATTGGAGAAAAATTTTCCTGATTCATTTTTATAGCTCAATTTAAAATCTAAATATCTCTTTCTAGGCAAACCAAGGGCCGCTAATATTCTAACTTTGTTAGTTTGTCAGTAGGAGCTTTCATCGGACCCGAATATGTCCTATCTTTCGGATTATCAACACAAACGCCTCCATTGTTAGTACTGTTTCATTTTATTATTGTTTACTTCATACAGACAATCACAAAATTGTATCTTTCATATAATGAACTTCTTGATGAGGGTGCTGAAATTATTGGAGATACTTTGAAGAAAAACATAGTAATGGAAATTTTCTTTTAATTAATTTTTTTCCTAAATGGTCATTATTGTCTAATACAGGCACTCAAAATACTTGAGATCGTTGCCAATGATATTGATATTAAGGGTACTGAATATTTAGCAGATGCAATAAAAGAGAATATGGTGATAAAATTTTATTTATTTATGTTACTAGAATCAGAACTTTAAGATTTGAGAGTTCTTACGATTTATTGACTTTCATACATGACTTAGATTCCGTCGTTTCTTTAACTTCCTTGGATTATTTCAATTCCTAGGCTTAGTTGAGACCCTCGAATTTCCTGGGTTTCTTAGATTCCTTGAGATTCTTCAGTTCCTCGAAGTCTTCTCAATTGTTGCTGCTACCTGCTTTTCTTTCTTTGTTATCTGAGTTCCGAAATCCTCAAAAGTTCAGATTTCACGGAATTCAGGTACTGCTGCAATTTCTGGCAGTCAAATCATCATAATGGGCTTTGTCGTATGTATTGGACAGACAGAACAATGAAAATGAATAGTTCGCGATGAGTTAATCGTTTTTATTTGAGGGAATAACGCACCAGAGGTCGAAAACGAATCGAATTTGAAATTTTAGAACCTAGTCCGAATCGAGATTTTTCTATTTATTTCGGTCTCTGCGATCTACTCTTCTTGGCATGTTATAAAGTTGCAACAAAAAAAAATATAGCGGTTGTTGCTAGATGACGACACAATGTTCTAAGGAAAAGAAAATGGAAGCAAAAAAAAAGTGTTGCTCTGTGACTAAAAACATTGAATGACTCATTCTTGTTTTTTTTCAGTATTTACGACAAGAAACAAATAAGTAATAAAAACTTGATTTTTTAGATAGATATGTCATCATGTCTTCTTGATCGTTTGCCTGTCGAATGTCTGTATATGATATTTGAATATTTTTGGGCTCAAGACATTTTTCATTCATTTCTGAATGTCACTCAGTATATTAATCAAGTATTATACAATTATAACCGTTACTTGCTTAATTTTGAATCAATTCGTAAGAAAGATTTCGATCTCATTTGTCGTTCTATTAAACCTTGTCAAATTCAATCACTTATACTCTCAGATAGTGAAGATACCGTAGGACAATCTCAATTGTTTCTTTCATTCTTTTCTATTAATCAATTGATTCATCTTCGTGCATTAACATTGATCAGTATCGATCGTAATTCCATATCTGCTTTTTCCGGCATACACAAACTTCCATGTCTTGATTCGATTGAAATCGATAGCAATTCTCAAATTTCAATCAATTCCATTGTATCTCAATTAAAACGAATCATTGTGAATTCTTGTTCTGATGATTATTCCAATCATGGAATGTTAATTCCACCTATCCACTTACCCCGTCTACGCTATTTATCTTTAGAAAGATGTTCATTTTCTCGATTGTATTCAATACTTCGTTTTGCATCAAATCTAATTTCACTTCATGTTTCAATCATATATTGGAGTTCAATGGAAATGAATCGTTTGATCAATAATGATCAAGAGTCACCATTCAAACTTGTTTATCTCTATATGACGATGAATGTACGAAGTGAGTGTAGAAAATAATAAATCTAATCTAATCTAACCCCATGTCTTCCTATTTTTTTGATGTTTCAATATCACAAGATTCAATTCAACAATTTCTCTTACGAATGCCTTCTCTTCAACACTTAGAATTGATTGTTAATTATAATGGTCACCACTCTTTATGTGATGGATATCACTGGGAAATATTTATTAGGAATCAACTGACAATGCTCACTAAATTTGATTTCCATTTCAAATTAGCATGGTATCAAACACATGATTGGGTCAACGACGACGTTATACTTGCTCCTTTCCTAACTTCATTTTGGATCGATCAAGAACGACAATGGTTCGTCGTCTATAATCGTCAATCACGGAGTCTTTTCACTGTACCTCGATTTACTCCAACAATCTGTTCACATCGGTCGGCATCAATTTTACCTCATACAACAACTGTACCTAGAGAGAAATACGATATATTTTATGATCATATCACTGAACTTATTCTTGATAATAGTAAGACTTCGACATATCGCTATAAAAACATTCGGAAGCTGTCACTTTCAACTCCAAACTTTGATCATCAACAGTTTGATCTTTCAAAAGTTGAAGTGTTGACTGTGCAAATAAGCGAATGGACTTTAGAGATGCTAATAAAACTCATTCATCAATTGATGCCGATGCTCTCTCATCTTATAATTACCAGTTCTTTTTCTTGGAAAATTTCCCATCAGACTAATATCATGCCTCTCGTCAACATTCGTACATTAAATCTAACTCACTATTCAAGGTTTTTAGATGATGAAGAGCTTTCATGGACTCAGTTTTTTCCATGTGTTCAACGATTGATCATTTCTGTCAATACTCGTCGGCAAATGACGATTTTAATCGATCGGTTCGAACATTTATCAAATGCTTCATTCTTCGTTAAAAATTGTCAGATTAGTACAGAGGAAAAACTACGTGAACCTCAAGTAACACAGGAATGGTTCATTGAAAATACACGCCATCTATCAATAAATCATAATTTCATCTGTCATATCGACTATCAATATCGTTCATGGATTCATTTGTGGATTGGCGATTGTGAAAATCGATCGAAGGTGAAAAGAAACAGTTGGCTACGTCAATGTTTGCCATGCTGTTTATCAGATACTACTGCAAAATAGCAACATGGTTCACCTTCATCATCATAATATTAATTGTTGCATTCAATGTAACAATCATTCTGCAAACTCTTTAAAGACAAAGAGTATTGTTGATCAAGGGTGTAGGTGTTGGGTGAGGGTGTGGGTACATTTGTTCTACCCACACCCTACGATGCAGAGATATATGATGATCCATATTGTAAAAACACACACACGATGGATTCATTGACCAAGGTATAATTATTACCTTGATCAAACAAGCATGCTGACTGATTGTTTTCATAGTCGCTATAATTTTCGGAAAGATTCATGTCAAACCAGATGATTTCTTTTGAGCTAACGAGTCGTCAAACATCGTTACTTTTACTCATCTGTTTGCGCTGAATTTGTTTTTACAATTAAGAAATGAATAGACTAAAGAAACTCTAAAACAATATGAGTACAAACTGCGATTCGGCTAAGATATGACTTTTTACCTTAATTTTCGAATAGGACCTCATCTGCGAGATGTGAATTTTCGAAAATAACTACAAATAACGAAATCATCTATTGAAGATATTTCGTCCTAAAATTCTGGAACTTTGTAAGCAGATTCCATGGAAAATTATAGTAAAACTCATTTTATATTAAAATACTTAAAGTATTATATTTAATTGTGGTTTTCAACAGTTTCTAATGCAAAATTTATCTAAATCTTTACTCTTTTGATTTTATTGATTTTTGAGCAGTACTTTCAACTGTTAAATCTGAATCAAACGAATCATTTGATTGTAAATTCTTCTAGGTTTTTTTAAATGAAATTTTGAACCAAATAAAGATTTTTTTTCTAGTTGATTTTGAATCTTTAGATGGTTTTTGTTTTTTTTTATGTTGAATATTCATAATAATTATCAAAAGAATTATTAGTAAAACAATGCCAATAGTTCCAATAATAATAATAAATAAAAATTGTTTATTTTTTAAATCTGATTCTTCATTGGTGAAATTCAATTTTAATGGCGTAGTTCTACTAAAAACTAAACGAAAAAATAAAACCAACCAACCCAGAACGAGCATTATGGCGACCAGAAACAGCCGTATACTGCAGTTTACGGCGGCGTAAACTACTGTATACGCCAAATTTACGGCTATTTACGGCCATATATACGCAGTATTTCGTGGGACCATATTACGACCGTAACTCGCCGTGACGTATACGGCACAACACGGCGATCGTATACGACCCTAATAGCAGCGGGACATGTCACCTACGACAACGGGCACGGCCGTATACGGCACCGTTTACGAACGTAATACAATCGTAAACGGACCTAAACTCATAGTACACGACTTCCGCTATTCCACTAATAAAAGAAACGCCTAACATGTTTCACACTATTTCGAACTTTCTTCAATCACAGAAAAAGACTGATCGAGACCGATTCAGACCTTTTTTAAACCATCCCGAAAAGACTCACTGAGACTAATTGAGACTTTTTTTTAAATCTCAGAAAAAGACTGATTGAGACCGTTTGAGACTTTTTTAAATCACAGAAAAAGAGTCATTGAGACACATTGAGTACTTGTTTAGGATCATAGAAAACAACTGATGGACACCTATGGAACCTTTTTTGAATTAGAGAAAAAGAGTTTTTAGACTTTCTGAGACTATTCTGAGCTTCACAAAAGTCTCATAAAGTGTGAAAAAGACTTTTTCTGTGAGTGAAAGACGTCTCAGAAAGTCTTTTCGACTTTTGAAAAAGTTGCAATAAGTCTTTTTCTGTGTTTGGAAAAAGTTTCAAACTGTCTGAATCAGTTTGTTTCTTTGTTTGAAAAAAGTCGGAAAAAATCTGAAGGAGTCAGTTTGTGTGTTTCAAAGCAGTGTGGAAAAGTCTCAATGAGTCTTGGTGTTGGATTGAAAAAGTTTGAAAAAGTGTTTTTCTTTGGTGGTGTAAGTCTGAGAAAGTCTGAAATATTTGTTGTCTTCAGTGGCAAGTGGTGTGAGCATAACTCGATAGACACGGAAGTAGGAGTTATTCATGCGAGAGAAATACATGCTTTTGTTGACTTTGGAGAACATTACCGCTGCTCGATACGCCGTATGGAAGTGGCAAAAAGTGGGAAAATCTGCCGATTCTAAGAAAATTGAGGCCTTTTTATGACTTTTTCCCGCGCGACACAGCTTCTGATAACAGTGCGAAAATGTTGTAATAAGATTGGGTAGTAGAGGTTGTGTGAGTTTGTGAGGAGCTTGGGATACTTCTAAAGATAGGGAATACTAACGAAAGATTCTCCTTTAGGTATCTGAATATTTGTATTGTGAGATTTCATAGCGGGGAAGAATTTTGAATATAGGTCAGATTCAGGCTTTTTCGAACTTTTCGGAAGATGTGTCTGATAACAGGAAACCTGTAAAAGAGCATGTGCAAAAACCATAAAGAACTTTTTTGGTTTATAAGGTGGATTGCATTCTAGTCCATGGCTACACTTCGGGATATTCTCTAAGGAACGGTGCTTCGTTAAAAGCATAGGGACCAGGCATGCCAGTTTCCGTATAACATGTAGCATTGTGGAAAACGTCTTTAAATATATATGAAATTCAAGAAAGGCCATTACTTACTGAGCATATAGGAGCGCAATGAAAATAGCTATTTCAACGACTGCTCTTCAGAACAAGAATCGCCTGCTCAACGTCTTTTTTTGTAGTTCCTTCTATACCGCAATACCGGAAGTCTTACCGTGCGGCTCTATATATGAAGAGAAGCGAGACTCAACAGGATCAAAACACACTCTTTTGATCAAATAATACTACTCAAAACTCCATTGCTCATCCCTGTTACCCATACGTGAATCTCAATTCAAATGTTCACGAGAACGTGGTGCACGCCTTTCTATTGTAGACCGTCAAACTGAACAATACTAAAACAGACTAAAAATGGCTCTTTTTCGATAACAAATAATACTCCTCAAATATCTTTTATTCATACTTCTTACCCATACCTGAATCTCAATTGAAATCACCACGAGCATGTGGTGCAGCTCTTTATATAGTACGGCGTGAGACTGCATATACTATTTTTTGATCAAATAATAATCCTCAAACATGCATTGTTCATACTTGTGAATCATACCTGAATCTCAATTGAAATGACCACGAGCACGTGGTGCAGCTCTTTATATAGTACGGGGTGAGACTGCATATACTATTTTTTGATCAAATAATACTCCTCAAAATCTATTCTTCATACTAGTTACTCATACCTGAGTCTCAATTCAAATGACCAACAGCACGTGGTGAAGCCCTATATATAATCGGGGTTAAGACTAAAAAAAAGGGTGTGGGTGAGTGTGGGGTGTAAGTGTGGGTGGGTGTGGGGTGTGGGTGTGGGGTGTGGGTGGGTGTGGGTATGGGTGTCGGTAATCAGTTCATCCATACGAACATTCACACCCACTCACACCCACTCCCACACCCACACTGTACCTGATATTGTTATGGATGATCCATTACAACAATTCGAACATGTTGGAAATGGAGATGAAGGTATGGTAGATGGTGATATGACAAATGTTGGTTTATCTGTCGTTAATGTGAATTGAAAACGTTTATTCCTGAGAAGGGCAAAAGAAAAAATGTTAAGAAGAAATTATCTGATAAATTGGATAATCGAATTGATTTGGAATTTTGGTCACCACCTGCATGGCATCTTCGTTCGAGAACACGTTTGAATCAAGATAAAGATAGTAATATGGTGTCTAATAAGAAGAAAAGCAAATGTGAAAAGAAATAGACGGACAATGTTCTTCCAGTTTTAACGTTGACTCTCTTATGGTTGGATTTATTTTATTTCTATTCTTGGATGTTGATTTTTTGTATTTTATGATGCTGTTCCAAATATATTTTCAAATGGGATAGTAGATTTCATTTACGTTGGTTATTTTAGATGTTCGTATGAGAAAAATCTCATAATTATGTATATGGTAGAACAAAAGAATGTGTTCTTACTGACGAGTACATGTTCTATGTGCATGGAGATTCTATTTTAAATGTTGATAAATTGAGCTCCTTAATGACATTGCAATTTTTATATGTTATTTTTCAGAAAAATATTTCAGATTGTATTTATATTTTTCAGTATTTTTATGGATTTATTAAGTAAAGGATGTATTGCTGTAAGTTCTTGCTTATACTTTGAAATGGTTTGAATATTGTAACACTATGTATTTAGAAACTTTTACGTGGTGAAGAACTAGTTTTACCTGTTGTACTGTTGCTAGAGGTATTTAAAAATATGTGAGTTTATTCTAATTCTAATAGTTAAAAATAATAGGAAGCTTCTTTACTGTACGTCAATGCTGACGTTTGTAATGAACGTGATGTGGCAAGTGTTCGCTTGCGGTTATCGGATTCTACAGATTCGTTTTATGGTATGACGGCTATGATTTTATACGTTTGTACTTAATTATTTTCCTAATAGGATGTGTATGTAAAACGAAAAAAGTAAATGAACTAGTGCCATGTGTAATGGTTCGTTTAGAATCGTTGAACATCGAATCTCTTGAAGAAAATAAGTATGCTTAATTTACAATCAGTGTAACAACTTTAGTCTTTCCCATTTCCTTGTAGAATTGTTTGTCAAATTGTTGATATGAATGTAGTATGTGAACAAAAGGATAAGAGTACATTGTCAGAAATCGTTCATTTGGAATATACGATGTGTAAAAATGATTCACAGGCTTGTGGACTAGAAGAAAAGCCAATTTGGATTCGTGTTTGCGATGTGGATCTCAGCACAGAGAGAAGGTACGTGCTCGGTATTTGATATTTTCCTTTTTTTTTTTCATTATTAGTATTTATTTTTACGTTTTATGTTTTCTCGTTTATAGACACACTATACGAGGAAGAGTTACTTTCAAAAGTTCAATGAGAACATACAATCTCGGTGAAAATCGATTCTTTTATTTCGACATTACGGATTATTCTGAAACGTTACGTGTAAAAGCAATTGATAAACAGTGTGATCGTCTTTTTTTAACTATATATGTTGGAGAGGTATGTTAAAAATTTTTTTAAAATGATTATAGATATTAATGTTTTATTTTCTTAAAATAATTTAGACAGTTGAAATATCAAAATTTTATGTGACGATTGCAAACAAAAAATACAATAAGCTATCTAGTGATTATGAGGTTGCGGTGGTAGATTATACTGAATGTATAGTTATGCATGACATTGCACCCATAAAAATTGAACATACTTTTCAGTTTCACTCATTACGAGACGTAGAGATGCGTTAGGTTGGCAGTATGTATGGTTGGTATTTGATTTATAGTGTATTAAATTGTATAATAATGTCTCTGGTGTTGTTGGGTAGATGCAATTGGAATTATCAAGAGTATTGATGAACTTAGAATAGTGTACGAACGAGCAACTTCGAAACCATTGTCAATTGTACGTTTATTTTTATTTGATTCAACAGGAAATATTCAAATTAACCTATGGAATGATATTGTAAGGATGATGGCAAGAATTTGAATTGTTGCCTATTTGTGCGTACTTTATATCTGCATTTTGTTCAATAGGCATCAACGTTCATCGGTCAAAAAAAATGATATTCTTGCTGTTAAACGTTTTCGATTGAATATGTATCATAGTAAGTATAAGCAAAATCCAAATATTTTTTCTCAAAGCAATATATGTTTAGAGAAATATTCTTTGAATAATGTAATGAGTAGTGATATGTATTTTTGAATCCTACATTGGCAGAAGCAGAGAAACTTTGTTCATTGATTATTGGTCCAATATTTGATGATAGTAAAACAAAAGGTAGATTGACAATTTGTGTATCATATAAAATATTATGAAAGTTGTATTTTAGATGAATGTCGAGGAACTGATGATATGGAACATGGTGATCAGCATTGATCATAATGGTTCTTTAATCTGTTAGAAGAAAACATTAGTGATAAATTTTTTTCCGATTTGATTGTTTACGTTTTCTCGTTTTTGGTTATATTATTCTTAAAGTTCATTATACTTTTTAGATGTTATAGTATATATTTTAGATCTTATGGGTAGTAAAATGTCTACGAATGAACATTTATTACATTCAATGAAGAATTTACGTTTGAGTAGTATTGACTCAACAACTTTTGAAGACAATAATTCTGTTACAATACGAATTTTAGAGATTCCATCACTATCATCACCATTCAGAAAACAAACGGCTGGTAAATATGATGTGATGAAAGATGCTGTAAATGCTCCTTTAGAAGATGATTCACCAACAAAAAGTTACATTTCAAGTATAGATGAAGTAATAATTGATGAAACAAAACATGGAAATTTTATATTAGAATCTGCTGGTGATACACCAGCTCTTCATGGTAAGGGGAATTAATGAATGCTCTTTATTCTTCTCAGTAATATTTTAAACAGATAGTTCGTTGGATGTGTGACATTTTTCCAACGATAAATTTGCAAGTTTCGACGACAATTATACAAATGAAGAATTAGAATTGTTTATGCTAAAAAGAAGAAAACTCCTACACGAAAGACATGAACTGTAAAAAACTAAATATTTTTTATGAAAAATTGTTGAGTAAGACGAATCAAAATGTAAAATATACGGATATCCATGTCGAAGAACCATCTGATGAAGATATAGTTCGATATTTAAAAAGTTTGTAATTTTTCAGATATTCTGAACGTTTATTTGACTAGCTGGAGTTACTTTATATTTTATTTTATTCAAATGGATTCACGCACTTGTTTAGAAGAATTAATCAATATTTCTGAACAATTGAAGGTATTTAGTATAGCTGAATTATTTTATGTATTACAAGAACATGGACGATTGTCATTATTTGATATAAACCGACCCAGTAAAAAATATTGATAAAAAAACGGTAGAAAACGCGTTCATAAAAATATGGAAACTTGCCTCTCTGTTAAAAAAAGCGTTCTATAATTTAGTGAACGCGTTCATAAACGGAGAAAAAAATTCTATGTTCAAAGAAACGCATTCTTTGTCGTTCCATGTACTTGTAGAATGCCTTTTTTCGATTTAAAAATAGTCCTGCGACCGATCAGAAAGCGTTCTCACCCGTTTCAAGAATTGCAGGACGGAATCGCGTTCGTTCGCCTTCTCATGCGGAACGTCTAAAAATGGATTCTTCGTATTGTTGAACGCCTAAAGATGGGTTCTTTGAACTGTTAAACGCATTCCGTACAATCTAAAACAGTTCTATAAAAACAAGAACGTATTCTCTGTCGTTCGCTGAATTGTGGGACGCTTTCAGCTGAATTTAACGTCAATTTAGATGCTAAATTGATAATGCTGGAGCACTACAGGTCGAAACTATCACCAAAAATGATGGAACCTTGACGAACTGTACTTGTCAGCTGAAAATCATAATTTTCAAAAAATATTTTTTTAAAAACGGTCTGAGCTATAAAGAATCGGAGAGCACCACTGGATAGAGCTCGCAAAGTTGCATAGGAGTAGATCTCTTCACGAAACAAGTAGTAACGTCACTCATTCTTATTCGAGGGCTTTTATAGAGAACATGAAATCAGATGATAATGGCCAAGAACATGTTCCAAAAAATGTATTTAGCCTTTTTTAAAAGAAAAAAAACGTTTCAAAAAAACTGGAACCGTTGAAAACGCATTCCGAAGAGAGTGAAATGCATTCTTGACCGTTCCATTTTGGATTGCGTTCTACTTTTCTTGGAACGTTTTTTTTTCTTAAAAAAAAGACATTCAACATTTTGGAACGCGTTTTATACCATTTTTTCCGATAAAAATTTTTCACTGGGCAGTAATACGACAAAAAAATCCAAAATTTGTTGAAATTGATCTTATAGAATGTCAAAAACCAAATGATGATGATGATGATGACAATGATGAGGATGAAGACAAAGATGATGATTAACTATGTTTAGATTCTTTTTTTATACAACTATTGAATAATACGTAATAAAACTCACCTGGAGTGAAATTGTTTTCAGTGTCATTCAGAAATCATATGACAACGGATTGTTCAAGATATTTGACTATAGAATGCATATGAAAAAACACCTCGTCCTGAGATGTCAAAGTTGGTTCAATTGATTTTAGAAGACGGAATAGGATAAGATCCAATCAATATAACAAATTCCATTCTACATATACACTCTAGAGTTAAAATCTGGATGTTGTAGCTTAACCGTTTCTCAACAAATAAGTGCATTTCTGTGATACCTCTGTTATCATATGTGTCTTATGAACCGTTTGATCTATCACAAATTCTTGCTGTTTTATTTGATTGCAAGAAGATATTGAGATGCTAATTGTTACAAATGGTTACATATATTCTTGTGGTACTATGTGTAAATTTTTTCAGTCCTCACTCTTTACAATCTAAGCAGCATATGAGGTTTGCATTTTTTAACTCTTTTGGGCCCAGAGAGAATTTTTCAAAAATTATCCACTATAATTACTAGTTTTATTAAGTATAAGTTTATTATGATATTTCCCATCATCAGCAACATAATATTTTATGAGGAGATGGTTATTTAGTCACGATATAATCGAAACTAGTCATTAGTTAAATGCATGATTAGTTTTAAAGTAAGGCAGAGAGAATTGCAAACGACAACGTTGAAATTAATCGTTAATGTATACGATACGTTTTTAGAGACTCACAAAAATAATTTTTCAAATAGCAAAATACGTTTTCTTACACTTTCAAGTTTGCTCTACATAATCATTTCTTTCAAATGAAACAGTGTATGAAGTGTCGCTTTACGTGAACAAGCTGAATTAAAAATTCGTTGCTCGAACACCTTTTTATCAAAAATTTTGAAAACTTCTGTTGCTCATGTCCCTTGATTACTGTTTACTATGATAGGTAGATCAGGATCAATCCAACGGATGCTCGTACCAATCCAATCCATTCGACATCTCTGATTTATACTAATAAAAATCTGATAGATCTTCACTTTTCATATTTCTAAATAAGCGCTTTTTAAATAAAATCCTTTTCATATGCGTCACAGTTCTTTTTCCTGGAAATAACATATCAACCTGTCCAAGCGTGACCGAATCCCTTTTTTCCGTGTACATTCTGTATTATCAGTGAGTTAGAAACATATGAGGCTGAAACTTTCACATGACACGTAGTCCTAGTTGCTCTACATGTGCCATAAGTTATATCAAGATTGCTGTTCTTATTCATGCTTAACGAGAACAATTATATACCGTGACGGCGGAATCAGAAAAAAAGGACCGTCATTTTCACTGAATCCATGAAAACTTCAAAATTCTACACAACGATACGGCTTATGGAAAAACAGTCTGGGGCAAAAGTGTAGCTTAGATGACAAACTATCTGAAGAAAAAAGGATGCTTTAAAAATTCTGAAATTTAATCTCATACCGTTGAAAATGCATCGTGACGGAATTACATTTTCTGATGTCTGGTTCTCACTTATTAAAAAGCTATTGACATGAGTTTGATAATGATATATGCATGAGAAAACGTTTTAGGCCTACACAGAAAATTCAGTTCATATTGTTCATACCGTTATAGTGCTAGATCAATTTTTCTGAAAATACCCGCACATAGAGGTGGACCGTTACGTGGACAGGTCGATATAGAACAAGTTGTTTCGTTTTTATTTTATTTTACACATCTTTATTTGACAATAATTCCGCAATTCTAATCAGTTTTATTCAAATTGTACAACTTATTGTATGAGGAAAATAGTCTTTGAGTTGTGTTGAAATCGATATATCACGAGGTACATATATAGAAAATAGTTTTCCACAATTGATTCGTGTTGCATCTCTCGTAAACCTGTGTGTTATTCTATCCAACGTTGAAAATAGAACTTGAAGGTTGACCGTTCTTATTATAGATGTTTTGATATCCAATAGAAATTGCTCGACATAATCATCATGAGCCGAAAACAACTCAAGTACACTCAGATAAGGATATTGAATAGGTGATAAATGTTGATTATCATATTTTGATTGTTCATAAGATTTGTTCTTCTGTGGTTTCCTATTGTATATAGTTAATTGTTCCATAAATGGGAAAGATTTAGCAATTTTCACAAAAAATTCATATTCAAAAGGACGGTCGTCATACAATGAAACTTCACGAACATATTTAAATAATCCATCTGGAAAATTATTTGTAATATATTCATATGTCTTTGCTCTATATGGATATGAATAAATATGACATTGACCATGTTTGAAATCTGGAAAATAATCGACACATGAAATAATTTTATTATTTTTAAAATCATTGAATGAATGTTGACAATCTTCATTTGATAATAAATAAACTTGATCGTTTAGATATAGACATGATCGTATGTTAAATAGAAATTTATTTAATTGAAACAAATGATTAATGATATTGTATTTCAAATTATAACCATCAACAAATCTTTTCTCACAATGCACGACAAGATGTAAATCGAGTTCTTCTAGATTGACCATTCGGTATAGAAGTGGCACAATCAATTCATTATATTGAAATGTAGGTCGGTCAGAATAGAGAGAAAACGCTTTTAGCTTCGGTAATTCTTTCTAAAAAAATAAATCAATTTATTTCAAAGTAGTAGATATTAAATGGATTGATTTACTTTATTATTAATTACTATCTCTGGAGTAGATATTTTACAAATATCAAGAAAAACTTTTTCAAGTGAATCGAAACGACCATCAAGTAAATAAAGACAATCTGTAAATTTGTTCAGTTTGATATGCAATTCTAACAGAATCGAAGAGGAAATAGTTGTAGACATTTCAAATAATGATTGATACCAAAAAGATGATCTATAATCGAAATATTTTAACTTGGAGAATAAAGTTAAAATGTGGGCAAACATATTTGAATTGCTTGTGTCATTCATACGTAAACTTTCACATTGAACATCAATAACAAGTGATGAAATTTTATCTTGAAATATATGAGTTAAAGGAATTTCGTCTAAATATAAATAAAAAATTAATGATGAGATATTTGAAATATTTGGATGATATTATCACATCTATTCTAGTCTTTCTCTCTTCTTATAAAGTAAATATTAGTTTTCTCTAACTGAACAAATTGATTTACAATAAGATTTTTCTCTTTTCTGTTCATATAGAAAAAAAAATGTCATATGATACAATTTTGAGAAGAATCTTTTTAAAAATAATTGTATTTATTTATCTATATTTTTCAAATATTAATGATTGAAAGAAAAAAAAATCAAAAAACTACTCACCAGTAAAAATACGTAATGCAATGTTCTTCTCGATATTATGTAAACCAAGTCCCGATAAATTAGGATAACTTGTACAAAGAAGAACATCTTCCATAGACGAACATTCAACATCTAACCATTTGATGTTATGATGAATCGAAGGTAATATTTGTGAACAAAATCGGTCAAGTATTTGATGATCTAATCGATCAAATGAACCATTAGAAGAACATCTTATCATTGTTAAGTGATTGGTAAAAATTGAATCATGTACAAGTTTATTAAATCTTTTATTTAAATCGATGAATAAATAGAGCACTTCAATATTGTCCAAGTTTTTCAAAATGAGAAGAAGAATCTCATCAGGTACATCAATTAAAGTCGACAAAGAACCTTCCATATTTATCTTCATCTGTGTATTTTTTTCGCTTGTATAGACGTATACAATTTAACCGAATTCGTCAATGAAAATAACGACAAATTTTTTTCTATAATCGAAATTGACGGTAAATAGACGGAAAAGAATGACATCACTTCTCTCTCTCTCTTTCTTGTATTTCATATGCCGATAAACATTCATGTTCTCTATTATAGATCTGATTAAATAAATAATATGTCGTTCATATCGAGTAAAAATGTCTCTTCACAAGTTTATTATTATTATTTCAGTTTCAATAAAATATTCTGAAAGCTGATACTTCATATTTATTTCTATATTTTTCGTTCGATTGATTTTTTTCTAAAATAGTTCAAGAAAAACTAAATACGATAAAATAAGATGAATAATTATTATAGTAGAAATCATCATTAGAGGAATTCTATATACGTGTCAGTGGCGTATTCATCGCTTCGGCAAGCTGCCGATCGCCGTTCCATCGCGAAATATTCATTTTTCTATGTTTCTCTATCAGAGTCGAAAATAAAAGGGATTATACTGCCTTGAATAGATATCGAAAGTCATTTTTGATCATGACTGCCATCACAAATATCCTCAATTCGTTCCTGATATTTATTCTTAAATTTGTCTTTTATTAGACAAATAATATCTTTATTTCTTCTTATGAGATAATAATGAACAACATAATATTAGTTTTCATTGGTTGTTCCACATTCGACGATCATGATATCTGTTTTAGGTCGACCAGTGACACTTCCTAAAATAATAAACATAGCTTATTACTAAAATAATATTAGTCAAACTCAAACATACCCTGATTCATGATGGCATGCATAACGTCCATGCCACTTGAAATTTCGCCGAGAACAACCTTCAATAAAAAAATAAAAGTAATTAAAAACGAAACATTCTATTTTTTTACATATGTATCATCGAAGAATGGAAGTCCAATATAAGTTATGAAAAATTGGGAATTATTGGTATTCGGATCAAAATTAGTCATCGATAAAGTACCGGGTTTGGAATGTTTGTTGTTAAAATTTTCATCAGCAAATGTTTTCCCATAAATACTAAATAAAAATTCATAAATTATATATATATATTTTCAATGGTTAGTTTACCATTCACCACCCGAACCATCGCTATTTATAAAAATAAAAGAATATTTATGAAATAAAATTTTATTTTGTAATTCACTTACAAATTCGTTATATCACCTCCTATTAAATTAAATAATAAAAGTAATAATAACGAAAAAATATTAATAAAGTCTTTACCTCGAATTAAATATTGGGGAAAGACATGAGTTAATTTACTACCAACATAACATAAATGCTTGTCACCAACACACAAACTTCGAAAATTTTCTGAAAATAAAAAATAAATATTTTTTAAGCAAGAAAATAAATTTTTCATAACATACCTGTTGTTTGTGGTACATTATTGTAAAGCTGTAAAAAAAATTCATAAATATTTATTTTTAAAAAGATATTTCTTGGTTTTACCTTGAATACCATTCGACCAATAACTTTATGTTTAATTGAAAAATCAAAATAAACGCAGGTATGAGACGCGAAATTACTAAAAGAAGTATCTTTTATATAAATTTAAAAGTAATAGCTCGATACTTAGATGAAAGTAATAAATCGTGCTTCATCAACATCGGTGGCAAAACCTCGCGCATTTTTTGAGACAATCCTTTGTCAAATTCATTTCTGTTAATCAATTGTCTAGAAAAAGAAAACGTTTTAGATTATATAGATGTGGTAAGTTTATGATTACCCATTATTCACGTAATCGGAGATCATTATTTGATAGTGATTAGTGTTCAATAACTAAAACAGTTGGTTTGATAAATGCATAGGACCTTCTCAGTACTTACATTGAAACTGATGGTGTACGATCCCATCCAAAAACGATGATCAAAACGAAATTTTTGATTTTTTTTTCATATTCAGTAATAATAATACCCTGTGAATCAATCTATAAAGTAAATTGTTATGAAAACAGGAATATAAAAAATAAAGATTAACACTACGGCTTCATTATTATATTTAAAACCATGTTTCATAAAAACAAGTTTTGATAAACATAAAAGTGAGTAATTGATATTCCGTTCAATTACAGATGGGTGTGGGTGTGGGCATAATTAGAAACACACTCGCACACACCCACACCCTCTATAGATATCTTCATTGTTCCTATGCATTTTCATTTATCCGCTGGGATAGAATGTATGTAGCTATTCACATATCTAACACTTTTCTCATAGAAGAAATTATTTTCTCATTTTTCGATTTCATTTTATCTTTGGAAACCTTCATTATTCCTATGATGTTGCATTTTCCCGCTGAAATTGAATCTGTTACGTGTTGAAGTAGCCCACGGCTGCCCATATTTGACTCGGGTGACGTTTTTTCGCCGGAAGTAAGCATTTATGTCACCGATCAATTCAATGTCCAACCCTCTTACAAAATATGAATATACGTGTTCCTTGATAGAATGATGTCAATACCTATGCCTTGATGAAATGACGTCAGTAACTATTCCTCAATAGAATGACATCAATGCTTGTCTCTCAAATGAATAGTATCAATTCTCTTTCGCATTGTTCTTGCTTTTATCGTCACATCAATAAGTCACTCGTATCCTCGCTTCATTGATATTTTTATTCAAGTCTCTCCTTGATTTTTCGTTACGTCCGTTTTCTCTAGCTGTGTGTATAATATATAAGGAAGGCGATACAATTGCTTTGTATGCCTTTCGATTGTAAAAGCATCAATATACGTGTGATCTTCATCTGCACTGCAGTACTTGGATCAAGATTCGTCAAAGTACTCCAAACCAAAAAAGTAAATACTTCCTTTGAATCGATTGCATTTATAATAGAATTTTTATTGAGATTGAATCTGGAAAATTTTACCATCAAATGTTTTTTTTCTCTGAAAATTTTATCGATTTTCAAAGCAAAAATTTTTATCCTATGATGAGAGTACGATTATAAAGAAAGATTTTCATTCCAAGAGAATCATTCCAGTAATCAGATTCGATTCGATCCGACGGGTATCTGATCGAAACCTGGGATACAGAACGACATTCCGAACTGTACTGTTGGCACCTTTTAAAAATTAGTGCTTAATTAATTCAATAAGTTTCATTAGCAGTATTCTTCAATAGTTTTGTGTTTCGAATAACCATAGAATTTTGTTGGTAAGAGAGGCAATCAGATGTGTCTTTGTGAACCTATCTATTTTGATCTGAATACAATACAGAATCGATGCTTTTAGCCATCAAAAAATGGTCAGAAGAGTGTTGAAAACTACAGAAGTGAACTCTTTCACTATTTTCTGGAGAGTTTTTAAGTTGAGATTGGCTAGAAAACCGTCGATTTCTTAGTTTTATAATAATGGAAGAACCGAACCTTAACTAAAGAGTCTCTCATTCAAAATTTTCACTCTTCTTAGGTTGTTAGAATTGTTAGGCACCCCTGTAACCGCACTTACATTTTATTTATTCAATTTTAATTCATA